ACATCGTGCGAAGAATAGCTATATTTTTCAGTCTTTCTCTTTAATCGAGTAATTCAGAAATTAACAAAAGGTATAAATCAAATAGTCAGTTTTACTCGATTATTCACAAAACTACAAGGGAAATCGAAAAATAATCCACTCGGTGCACCGACACGGTCAAAAATGTACACGGGAATAGGTCAGTTACATTAGTACCCCTAACTATGAATTTCGTTAACAGATTTGTACCAACAATTGGAACAAAATCGGAACAAAATGACTCGTAGAAAAGTTGTTCACAGAAAAAGAAAATGTATATTGTCATAATGATAACATTTTTTAGGGTGCTACCATCCCCAACTTTCATCGTTTATATTTAATACATAAAAATGCATTATTATTTTTTTTTAGGACTATAAATTGACGCATTGAGTGAATCAAATTTAAGGTGATCATTTTAATTTCGATTTAGAAAATATGTATTTATTGAATGATTGTAGTTTTTAGTAAAAGTTTGTATAGTTGAAAATATCATTTAAAATGTGTACATTTTTTAACGTGTATGTTTTCCAACTCTCTATAGGATATTTAATGAGTTAAAAATGTTGTATTAAATACTCTTAAAAAAAACTTAAAAAAGTTTTAAAAATGTTATTATTACGTGGATGCATTACTATAGTAGTAATTATATCGAATGTTTAAGCAAATACAAATTTGTGTGATGCATGTTAGTACTAGTTTTCAGGAATACTAAGTTTTTAAGATTGGTTATTATAATATAATTTATTAGGTACAGATATTTTCCGTTCTATCAATAATTGTATATTTTCGAGATTAATTTGTTGTTAAGGATTAGCACAGTTTAGGAGGGAAAAAATGGTGATATTTAAATTGCGAATCGCGGATATTGTTTGTATTGTTCGTAGAGTATAGAGTTTTATAAATTTTTATAAATATAGATAAGTGACAGGGAAATTATAAAAAATGACGGAGGAATGTTGTAGATGCGACGAAGGTCCTCGTTAATATAATATAAAAGCTTGAAAATTATACCATATTTATAAAATTATATAATTTATTTATATTATACGTGTTGTTTTTCTTTGTTCCTTTTATAGGTAATATGATCCCCATAGGCTTTATTTGATTAAATATAAATAGTTACAAAAATAGATAAGTATTATAAACGTCATGTTTTGTTAAGATTTAAAACTGTGATAAGTCGTCGTCTCCTCCTCGAAAACGTAGATCAATAGTATAAATATACTGTAGGATATGGCCTGAGCACGTTGATGCTCTCTGAATACGATAACAAAAATGTTATAAAACCGATTTCAGTTTTTTATTCCGTCTTCTGGCATAAGTAAACCTAAAAAAATAAAAAAATAATGTGTTATTTCGTGTAGTTCGTGGTGCGTACTAATTTATTTGGGTGTTTTGTCAACCGATTTTCACGTTTATCCACCGATTTGGTACTGGATTTCATTTACTTATATTAATAAAAAAACTGTTTAGTTCCTGCAAAATGCACTTCAATAATTGTTGGCTTAACGAGTTAATATCAGAATTTCTTTTTTTGGAAGTATTAATATAGTTTTTTGTAAAATCGGACTTTATGAGTTATGATAATTTTTATTGGACCAAAAAACAATTTGTTGTTTTTTCGTTAGATAAACCTATTCCAGAAAAGAGCTGGGAAGTTCTTTTTTAAGTATTATCGGAAGGAATTTATACGATCCCGTATAAATCGATTTAATAATTTTAGCTTTTTAGACAAGACTAGATAATAAATTAATAAGATAAGGCAGAAAATAGTGCGGAAGGTGACAGAACACTGAAATTATTATTTATGAAATTAAAATTGTACGTACTGGCAATTGCGGCTGTTAAAAAACAAGTTACTGTACCGCCGATGAACGCCCTGAATACATTTTTAGTGATTGTCGATCGCTGTGATGGACACAAAGTCGTCAGCGTCGCTATCATGGAACCGATCGCACCGGGATTTGCGAAACTGCACAAAGCGAACGTCGCTATGATTTCGGACTTGCGCTGAAAACACGACACGGATAAGAAAAAGTACCCAAATAATGTTGTTGGATAGATCGTTTAGTATTGATTATAATAGTGTTTCTCAACCTTCGTAGCTATTATGGTGACAGACTACTTAAGTATTTCTTAGTTTACGTCGCACAATGAAAACAAAAAATGATAATAGATAATCTTTAACATAAAGAGCATATTTTAATGTTTTATTAAAAAATTAAAGGTATGATATAGTGACTCCTCTTAACCTCACACAAATGGCAGTTAGAAATTGTATTTTTTTTATACGACAATGTATCCATTTAATCTCAATATATTCCATTAAATGCCTGTTTCTGAAATTCGGCTAGTATAGCTCTCATAAGCGATAATGTCATAAGTCACGAGATAACGCTTTTGTAAAAAACAAACTTATAAATTTTCCATTTTTTAAATTTCATTATACCTATTATATCTAGTGCGTTATAATAAAATAGCAATGTTTAATGATAAATATCGATTTTTTATCTAATTTAATTAATTTATATCACCATAAAAATTACATTTACATACACCTATTTTTTCTAAATTGTGTCAAACATGTTTGTGTATTTTGTTTATTTTAGTAAATTTCTCGACACATTATGTCCTACCCTTGGAATGTCTTGTAGGATACAGTAAAATATTAACATTGCGTGGCTTATCTGGTTATACTCTTATCGTAATGTTAACGGTCTTATTTTATTATAAAATGTATTTTATACAGACGGAAATCAAACAGGAAATAATATTTGAGTTCCCGGAATAAGTACAAAATTGTAAATATTATTATTTGGATGACTCACGTTTAGTTGGCCGTCTCTGATTTGTTCGCCCATTTTTTTGTATGCAACAAATTCGTTGATTGTCATTTTCAGTCCGATCAATCTTCCGACCTTTTCGCAATCGTCAAAATCGACGCCTAACAGCCACGTAACGGGAATCATGACCTTGCCGAGAATATACTGAAAAAAAAAAATGTGCATGCAATATCATATTTAAAAACCTATTGTGACGATGAAATTCTCTGGACAGATACGTACTTCGAACGAAAAATCCTCGAATCCGACCAAATGTCCCAGCCACCATATGATGGCGTTGAGGAACGCGACAAACGATACGAACGCCACGATATTGGAAATTATCGCTCCGATCAATCGGAATCCGAATTGAGCACCTTTACAGGCCGCGTCCATCACGTTAGACTCACTATCGACCCTGTGTATACAAAGATATAAAACAATATAAAAGTGATTGAAAATAACGCCATGCCGTTTATTATACAATAGATTTATATCTGATAGCAGAAATGTTAACTTAAACTAATTCCCATTTAAAATTAATTACCCTGCCACTACTAGCCGATGGTATAGGGATATTTGGCTTTGGCTTAGAGAATACGGCCAAATATTAACATTAAGTGGGCAATTTGCGTATTGTAAAACCAATAGTTGTGGTAGTGTGTGAATGTACTAAAATATAGTAAGTGGACCTTATGTGAGGCAAGCGGAATTATTTTTTTTTACAATGAAAATGAAACATTTTTTTTAATATTAACTTAATTCGAAAAGTTTCTGAGTAGTTTTTTTTAGAACTATCTTAGTATACATTTTTAAAACTCTTTCAGATAAAATATATACACCCACTATATTATAAGCGTACTTTTTAGAAGTGATTTCTTCAACGTTGTTCTTCGATTTTTGTGTTTCCGGGAAAATCAACTTGGAAAAACTTAACGCGGTCGGAGCTGACATGACTGATGCGGTTATTATGTACGCAGAATCAATACCAAATGATGTGTATGCCGCGAACACGGTTCCTTAACAAACATAATATGAATATAAGTTAATAAAAGACTCCGCGATTTTTACACAAAATACTATGAAAGTTGAATATTCATAATCATCCAATTGCAATTGATGATGTAAATATTTCGTAAAATATTGTTTACATTTGATTGATGATAAACTTAATACAAATAATAGGCAAATTGATTATTTTCATTTAGGTCTAGTTATAGGTTTCGCTTTAGTTTAAAAGAAGGTTAGAGTGTAAAAGTGCGGTTAGGTTAGGTTAGTGTAG